ATTGGTGTATTTAAAGAATGTGGGTTGATTTGTGATCACAGGCCTCCAGGAGGTATATATTGCTGAGGTTCAGTGCCTGCTATATATATGTGTGTGTAAGTATATACATAAGTTAATATTAATATTTTAGTATAATAGGTGAATATATATAATATATATACATAATAATAACAACAATGTATATACATATATATAGGTGAATATTAATAGGAGACTGGGCTGTGCAATAGTCTCTGAGGACATCTAGAACACTATAATGCAGGTGTGGGCACAGTCAGGTCTGTGTGCTGATGTATCTGGCTGAGAGGACAAGGTAGATGTGGGACAACACATACCAGAGTGTGGAGAGTACACCTGGGGCAATATCCAAAGGCATAATTTACATCAGGGCTCAATTGAGTTAATCATGGATGGACACATCTCTCCTACATGAACTCACTGTAAAACCTGAGCAGGTGTCAGAAACCAGAGCATCACGCTGTGGGTGATCTGCAGAGCCAGGCGGTGCAACAGGGAGAAAATCGATGTATGGTGTGTGGAGATGAGCACTTTGTTCAGCTCCTGCAAGTCCAGGCTGTGTGTTTGGAGACCTCTAGAGACTAATGGAAATAATCACACATCCAGAAACGCACCCAGTTTAGCGCAGGGGAGCCTCACATGAAAACTCCCGCGGGAACCAGCGCACAGAGCTCCTCGCTGAGCGTTTCTGCCACATCGTGAGCAGCAGGAAAAAAAACCTTTGAGAGAAACAATCAAGAGTAGGACGTGGCTAACAACAACTTAAGGAAAGGTGCAAACTCTGATGGCCGTATGACCAAATGGCTGACAAATGCATAAGCAGGTCTGTCTGCTCATAAGTGATTTGATAATCACCAAAGTGTCACACTAACGAAGATCCCCTGCAGTTAACCACGCCAGCAGCTTATCAGCTCCTTTCCTACGCTAGCCTCCTTCCACCCCACGCTGCATCTATCTGTATCTCACTGGCACACAATCACAATCAATGTGTTTGGGTTTTTTTCTATCTGCCACCAAAGGGAGGGAAAAGTTGTGGCATTAAGAGCTAATGACCCAGTGCTGCCTCCAACATCTGAGATTTTAAACATACTTCCAGTCCCTTTCTCCTCACTAGACAGATGCTTCGGCACAACAGGCAGAAGGCAAATAAAGGTGCACCTGTAAAACCAGTTGGTATTTGGGCACCATTTACTGGTGAAACATGTGTGTTTGCATTTTTCCCCAGCAACATTTCTTGCTCTTGATGAAATGCCAACAGGAAGCAAAGCCTTGAATTTTGGGAAGCACTGAGCATAGTAGAAGTTGTTGTCCCCAAAACTGGAGCAAACTAAATTTCCCCTCGTTCCTTGAGAGTTTTCCCATCTCTCCAAACCTGTCTTCACTGCCTTTTTTTTTTTTCTCTCCCACCAGGCAGCCTTGGGGCTCCCAGTGCCACTTATCCTGATGCAGCTTTTTGCAGCAAGGGAGCAAATCCCACGCCTGTTGCTGGTGGTGGGAGCTGGAATGAGGCTCAGCGTGGCTGGGATGTCACCCTGCCAGGACAGGATGTGTGCACAGACTCGTGGCAAGCACTTGGCTTTACTAAACAAAATAAAAGGCTACCGCAGCTTCTCTAGAGGTCATGGCTCACACTGGCTTCTGCACGGTGTGGGTGAGGTACAGCTTCTGGGCACAGAAAGGAGATGGTATTTGTCCCACCAGAGCTTTCTGGGTAAGGTCCTCTGCGATCCCACTGCACCCCAACCTGCTCTGCAGTGACCAAGCCTTCCCCAGTTGACTCATTTCGTAAGCATAATTATGACAAATTTGGTGCAATTACTTACCTTGCAGATCACTCCTTTCCTACGTGCAGGACTGCAATGCTGTCTGGCTTTGCCCCCTGCCGTGGTGGATGTCTCCAAAGCAACCCCTTCTCTCCACAGTCCCTTGCCTGGCTAGCAGGAGAAACAAGCAGGTAGAGATGATTTGGGAGGTGAAAACACAATTTTGGGTTCAGGCTATAAGTAGGGGAGACATGTGGCTGGGCAGATGGGAGAGGCCAATGTTCAGCATCCTCCAGCAGCCCAAGGAGGGATGGGTGGGATATCCCTGGCCCTGCCACCACCACCTTGGCACCTCTGTTGCTGGCTTGTGACTCCTTTACATGTCCCGATGCTGCCACCTGTAGCACAGAGCTTCGCTCTGGTGCTCCCCAGCACAACACCTGAAGAGCCAGGACCTGAGCAAGGAGCCCGCAGCACAGCTCAGCTCCACATGGTTTGGTTTTGTAGGAGTCCAAATGGGCAAATCCCAGCCTGGGACTTGGCTTTTTCATCCCCAAGAGAGGCTGTTGGCTTCTATGTCTGCTGGATTGCATTTTTAGTCATCTGCCAAGGGCACCAGAGCCTGGGATAGTAGCTCTCATTCTGCTTATCTGCTGGAAATAAAATAAACACATTAAATAACATCAGCACTGCAGCCCATACAGTGAGGGGGTTTTTACCGCCAAAGCCATGGATTCCTGTAGGACCAGTCAGGGAGCATTGCAGCCTCCCGTGCATGCAGAGATGGGGCCAGCATCTGTTTTTAATGCATCTACCCCACAAAGGGAGGGGGGATGCACAGCCACCCCTCCCTTCCCCAGCTCAGTTTGACCCAGCCATATGTTAGCACATGTTGACTGTCAGTATGAAACCCCCCCATCATTATATTAATTTCGTTGCTACCCATTTCTCGATGTTTTTCCATGACAGGAAATATCAGACAAAGGCTCCCTTACCCTGCTACCAAATCCTTGTATTGTCCCCAGCAGAGAGGGGAAATGTGGGGCTGGAACACGCTGAGTTCAGCACAGCAGCATCCTGGGGTGCCGCGAGGTGGAAAAGCGACTGTGACAGAGCTGGCATCAGCTCATTTCAGACCAGGCTCTGACCCACAAAGAACGAGCAAAAAGGAAAACAAGGAGAAAAAAGATATCTCAGTCAGGGTGAAGCTGAGCCCCTGTAGGAACCACCATTTATCTTCTGCCACCTCCCTTCTCTTTGGACCTTGCAGCAGGTGGGACTCCCGGTATCTCCCCCAGCTTTGGAAGTCCCCATCCTTCCTTCATGCATTAAACACATCTTCCCCCCTGGATTACAGCCTGAATTCCCATCTGCCCCATCAGTGCCGCATCGTGTCACAGCTCAGGTCTGCCCAGCCACCGCTGCCTTTGTGCAGGCAGCAGTGGGGCCGGATTAGCCCTGCACGCATGAGCGGGCTGACCTCGCCGGGTGGGCAGCGGGATTTGCTGCTCCCCATCTCCCAGCCACGTCCGGCAGCCTGCTCTGAAAAGGACACCTCAGCCCACTGTCACTGCTAATCCCCACACACGTGGGCTCCTGGCTCTATATAGACCCCCCTGACCACGCAGCCAGGGTGGGTCTGTGGCACAGGCGAGCAGGATGGTATTGCGGGTAAGTGCTGGGGATGGAGCCGGCACAGCCAGCTCTGTCTGATGGGTGATGGTGCAGGGTCAGGCGGTGGATAAAGGAAGGTGGCACAGATAAGGACAAGGAAAGTAGAAATCCTGAAAGACGTGGGGATGCTACTTGCAGTGCTGCTCCTTTGCCTCAGTCCAGTCCAGCCTATTGCAGAGCTGTGAGCTTCATGGCTTTCAATAACGGGCAATAGGACAGATTTTTCATCTGGGTTATACCAGGGCTGGAGTAATGGTATAAGCTTCCACTTCTGGCTTGGAGGGTTTAAGCTGAGACCAAGACAGGACTAGTGTTTTAGCAGAGATGATCTGTGCTTTGCCATCCACTTCCATGGGACAGCCAGCAGCAAAGAGGGAATTGATGTTTCCTGAATATGTGGCGTATTTTTTGCTGGGGGTGTTGTAATGATGGCAAGCGAAGGGTTGAGGCAATGTTAACCTGGGTGCTGCCATCACCACTTGCTGTTTGAAACCATATCATCAGCTTCATCAGGCCTCTGTGTTTCACAGCAGGGCACACTAGTGTAGTTAGAGCTTTTGAATGACCATGCATGCATTCCCAAAGCCACTCACCAAATGTGACCAGGCACAAGACCATGAGGTTGGCCATCATCATGTCTCAGCTGCTGCTCAAAAACATACATATCCCCAAAAATGCATTGGAAATGGGAAATTATGGCAGAGAAAGAAACAGGGGAGTGAAAGTGTTGAGCTACAGGGAGGGAAAGCAAGGCATGGAGCTGGCAGTGGAGCTGCCAAGGCTGGAGAGATTTACCTGATGTGAACAATAAGTTTGGGAGAGTGAGATGCTCAGAAATGCAAGATCATTAGAGTGCTAAAAAAAGTGGGGTGAAATGGCAAGCACTTCTTATTAAAATGAGTTATTTAATATAACTATGAATTATTCAAAAAGGAACATTTTCCAACTCATTTTATGCAAGTTTAACCTTGGAGATGGGGGGAGCAGGTGGAACAGGGGATCAGGCAGGAGCTTGTGAGAAGAGTCACCCATGTAATGCCGGATGAGGACGGGCTGGATGCCGCCTTAACCCTGTTCCTTGATCAATCCTCATCTTTTGTATCCTGCTTCAAAGCATCACAAAGTTTTCTGCTTTGGATTTTGTAATGCCCAGGTGGAGAGAGGGAGCAGAGCGTCTTTGTGTCCTGCTGACAATGAAAGCATTCAGGTTCTTTAACAAGAGTGCTGACATATTTCTCTAAATTGATACAAAATGAAGTTGCTACAACATCCAGTTGATGAGGTGGGATTTGCTGCCCCTGAGGTCTTTTGTAAAGAGCTGGTTGCGATCAAGGAACAAAAATAAAATAAAAAACTGAGAAAGAAAGAATAACCTAAGGACCTGAGTTTATTTAGGAGTGAGAAAAAGGGAGGGGCAGAGTGTGTGCCTGCATGGGAAGGGGGGAGAAAGGAGAAGATAATGAGAGGGAGAGAAAGATGGAGATGTGTAAGGAATGAGCAGGACCTCTGCCTTGCCACGCTTCACCGTTGCCTCCTCACCGGCAGTTCGAGGCCCTGTACCCAGAGGGGATGTGTCCAGGCTGGAGCATCGTGGTCAAGGGCGAGACCAGTTCCAATACAAGCATGTAAGGACACGCTCCACTCACAACTCTCCTGCCTCACGAGAGCCAGCAGCACCGCTCCACAGCTCTCCGTCACTTCTTTCTCTCACTGTCTTAGGTTTGAAATTAATTTGCTCTGTGATCCTGGAGACCAAATTGCTCTCCACTTTAACCCTCGCTTCTCCAGCTCCAGAATTGTCTGCAACTCCTTCCTCGCCAACTGCTGGGGGAAGGAAGAGATTAATAACATATTTCCCTTCGAAGCAAAGGAGCCATTCCAGGTAACCCTGTGTCACCCCACAGGTCTCCTTGGGTGGGACAACAGTGACCCAGCCAACACTGGGGTCCTCCTCACGGATCTAGCCTTGTCTTTCCTGCCAGCACCATCCTCAGTAACATCCCCTCTCTGGCTTTGCCTCCTGTTAGTGTTTCTGTTGTACCCTGATTTGCTGCTGATTTACACCCAACTCGGGCACAGACATGCAGAGCTGCAGCAATGATCCCTGGATGCTGCATCTGTTTTCAATTTGGGCTTTTCTTTATCTCCAGTTTCTGCTATCATGAAGTGAAGAACTCAATTATTCCCTTCTTTTGCCCAAAATGGGGGTGAGCAGTGTGTGTGTCAGCTCTGGCATGATTTGCATGGGCTCAGTGACATGATGGCAGCAAGGTCCAGTGAGGATGTGTGGTCACATGGTGAACCTAATACAGTCTCTCTTTCAGGTTGAAATCTACTCTGACCAGGACTATTTCCACATTTTCATCGATGAAAACAAAATCTTGCAGTACAAGCATCGGCAGAAGCAGCTTTCATCCATCACCAAGCTGCAGATTCTCAATGATATTACCATTTCGTCAGTGGAAATCACCAAACGAGGCCTTTACTAGAGACTGGAGTTGGGACAGTCTTGTACACCATTCCTCCTTAAGCTCCTGATCCAGCCAGGGAACATCTCCTCCCTTTCTCCACCCAACACATGCCATCATCGACCAGGGAGATAGCTATGCATGTGTCCTCATAGTGGAAGTGATGGTCATTCCCATTGCATGCTGCTAAGACAGCACCCAGCCACTTCGCTAACTGTAGCCCAGATCATCAAAGACCTTCTGCCTCTATGCCTTAGAGTGCTCAATGGGCTTTGTAGGTCTTATCATCTTTGCTGTTGGACAGCCTGACAGATCACTACAGCACATAGAAGTCTGCCTTGAGTAGTCTAGACACCTGAATGTTACCCTAGAAATTGTGTTTGCCCAAGAGTATTGTGTAAATTAGCACGAGTTGTCAGCTGGACGTGTAGCGTGGTATGGAATGAGTGTGGATGTTAGGGATGGAAAGGGACATTTCTTTCCAGGAGCTGGGTAAAAATGCTACCATATCTGCCAATAAAATCAAATAAGGAAATCCCTGCTGAAGTGTCCCTCATTGGGCAGATCAATTGAGTTATTAATTCCCTGCAAACCTCCAGCTCCAGACATCTGGCATGGACAAGGGTTGGTGACTAGGCAAGAGGACACAGGCCGAGTTGCTTGTTTTCAGCATTGGGAAAATACTGCCATTTTGCTTTGAGGGCTAAAACAAAATGAAGGTCCTGCGTAGGTAGATCAGGGTGATAAGATTCAACTTGCAAGATATTTCCAGAGATTCCTTTCACCAGTTGAGAAATGTTTACTCAGCCTGAGTCCCACCAATGCCAGGCTTGTTAGACAGACCCCAGGAGTGATGTGGAGGGTCAGAAAAGGGTAAAAGCCTAGAGACACATAAAAGCACACAGTCCCTTCATCATGCACCAGAAATGCAGCTGGACTCCAAACAAAAGAATCTGAGGAAATCAGCGTCTAGAAATTATGATAAGTTCAGGATGAGCAAAGTGTCATTATTCCTGTGGATGGTCTCTGGCTTTTCTCTTTACTCTGCTTTCTTGTTTTCTTTTCTCCTCCTTTTCAGTTCCTTTTCAAAATCAATACAGTCCACTTGTCCCTTGCACCCTCTTCTCTTTTCCACCCTCTTGGAGCACAGCATATCTCCAACTCCATGACCAGGCCATAGCAGGCTAAAAGATGTTATTTTTACTTTGTTTTAATTATGCATGTCATAAGCATAATGTCACAGTGTTAAATCTGAAACAGGAACTCACTCCAAAAATGCAATTACAGTTGCACCCAAATCGCTCCTTTGTCCCTCAGACATAAGACAGACCACATTCCTGATGCAAAAGGCAAAGATGATCCTGCCTTGCCAGTCCTTTCCATCAAGGAGAAAACACTTGGTGAGAAATCAGTCCTTGCCTTTGGGTGGGATCTCTGAAGGTCACAGTTTTGCTCCAGCCTTTTCTCAATGCTTGAATTGGCCATTCCCAACTCTTCCCTCTGTTTATAGTCTCAAGGGTTTATGAGGAAGAGATGACCATGTAGCCAACCACAACACAAGATGCCACAAAGTTGACATTTATGAGTCTGCTAAAAATATTATGTTTTTCCAGACCATAAAGAACACTCACTGGAAATCATCCTGTTCATGTGGTAGAGTACAAGGGGAACACAAAATGGTTCCAAATTGTACCTTCTCCCTCCAAAAAGAACAGAAAATATGGTTTGGAAATGGTCACAATCTTATTTGCAAGTCAGGAAGGTTGGTGAGACTTTGTCTGCTCTGGAATAAATCCATCACTACTGGGACAAGAGAGTCAGCTCAAATTCTGGTTGTTATCATGTAACCCATGGGTTCAAACTTTACACTTCTGACCATCCCTTCAGCAAAACAGACAGAAACACAGACAAAATCAGGCCCGTTGGGACCTGTGTGTCATACATCTGATAATGCTGAACTGCATTTAAAGAAAATGTTTTTTTTGTTTGTGTTTCTTTGGGGGTTGATAGAGACAGATCATTTTTCATGGATGAAAAGTGATGAAATTATTTAGAAGGGTAATACTTTGTACTTATATGGCCACAAACTCCATCTATAGCCACTGCTGCAGAAACACACCACAATTTCATTGTTCTCCAGAAGCCAGCACAAAGGACCACAGACAAACAGGGCAAAAAAATATTTCAAGTACAAATAAACAAAGAGATGCCACAAAAAATCATGCAGCGGCAGAGATTGTGCCCTGACTCCTGAACACGTTCCCTTCAGCTTCGGCCAGCAGTTGATCTCACTCCATTACCATCTGCACCGAGAGAGCCCAATCACTCCTGACACATCCAAAGCATTGCTGCTGGCTTTGGGATTTTATCTGCTGTCTCCTCCAGCCAAAACATTCCCAAGGGTGAAAGGGTCTTCAGAACAAGAGAGGTCTGGGGATCTACAGAGCATCTCTGGGAGGAAAACCCCAGGGCTGGCTGTTTATAGCTGCTTTGCACAGTTTTATGGGGAATGAGAGATGCCCTCCAAGTCTGTGACCATCATCTGCCCCTTTAGGAGAAACTCTGGAGGAAAATGAAGCTTCAGAATTATGATGGTCAATTAAACTCTCAGGAGGGGGTTTGGCACATCAGACTTGCACGGAGGCATTGCGTGTTGGTATGGAAGTGATCAAAGGGAACAAACCAATCCTTCCTCCAAATTTTAACCAGCCTTCCTGGTCATGACCTGGGGTTTGAAACTAGGGAGGGAACTGATGGAGATGAGCACCTTGTTCAGGGGAATTTTTTTAAGAGCTGGAGGACTTTTGAAGGGGAAGAAGCAGAGGCAACTGGGGGTGCAGCTCTAGGAGGGACCAACATTTCACAGCCCAACCTAAAGGCCAAGCTCAATATTTTCACTGTGGCCAAGTACAGTGCAGGAGCTGGGCTGAAAAGCTTCCAGAGAGCAATTACTGTGGGATGGGATTGGGAATGTCCTAGACAGGGTCTGCTTATAAAGCAGCAGCTGCTGCTCTTAAAGCTTACATGAGGGAGAAGTCCTTCAGGAGACAAAGCCAGCAGAGGTGGTGACCTCCCACATGGGCTCTCCATTTCCCACTGATTCTCCTCATTTGGGTTGGATCTGCAAAGCTCAGTGAAATACTCTGGCTTCTCCCCAGATCAATAAGAGGAAAATCAGGCTCGTAATCCTTCGTGCTTGAGCTGTGCCAAGACTCCCAGGGCCAAGGTCCCCTCTGGCAGTGACATAGCGTTGCAGATCTCCTGCGGAGCATCTGCCGATGCAGGATCAGAGAGCGCTCCTTGGTGTCGCTGACACTGCTGGCAATCATCGCATGCCCCAGCAGCAAACACCGGCAATTTCCTCACAGGCTGGTGAGCAAATGGCTCCTCTGTCAGCAGCACTCATGTCTCATCAGCAGAGCAGCAGCCTGGAGACATCAGGCTGAGTGATGCTGTCTCTACCAGCCTTAGCAAAGGATGCTTGAATATCACACACTGGGTCCTGCCATGGGAAAGGCAGTGTGAAAAAGGGCAAGGACTTGTTGCCAATGCAGTGGGAAAGACTTCTAGTAAAGCACAAAAAAAAGGCAAGCCTCATGTGGGTTAGGTCTGCCTCATGCCCAATTTCTGACTTGATGCCTTTTTTTTTTTTTTAATGACCATGCCTCTAAAAAAAAAAAAACAAAAAAACAACCCAAAACAAAAACCCCCAAAAACCCCAACACCCAACCACCAAAAAAAGCAAACAAACAAACCAAGCTCCAAAAAAACAAAAAAAGAAAGACTTTGATACTGGAGTGTTACCCATGAACTCATAGCTAGAGGGCAGCTCTGGTGACGAAAGGCAGGAGAAGGGCAGTTGTTAACTGTTGAACCAACAATTCCCTTTCTCCTCCCATTTCAACACCCTCATGACCATCTCCTGATGGACAACAGCTGCCCTGCAACAGAGATCTTCATCTCTCCACTGATCCTAAGTCACCATGTTGTGGTGCAGCTCAGTGATCCTGGGCCTGCATCTATGGCATCTCTAATTTTACATGTTCCCCAAGGCCTTCATTTTCCCCACACATTGCCACAGAAATAGCTGCTAGAAGCACAGAACTTATCAGTGATGACTTTCTTCCTTACATCTTGAGCCCTTATCTAAGAGGCTGCTTATTCAACAACGTGGGCTGCCAAACTCCTTAAATGCTCAGGAGTCACAGGTGTTTGCTGGCAGGACTGATGAACATAAAGGGCAAATGTTCCATCTTTTTCTGAAGAGTATGAGGGGAAAAAAAGACAAACAAAAAAACACCAAGAGGAAAGGAGGAGCAACTCTCAGTTCTGGCTGGGAAGAGGCAGTTCTGAGGCACCAGGCAGCCCTAGATTGCAGCTGGAAAAGAGTCTCTGCTGAAAAGCAGAGAGATGTTTCTTTCATTGCATTGAAAGAGAGCTTCATAAAGCCATTTTAACTCACAGCATCTCCATCCAGAGCCAGCTCAGACAGGGAAGCACACCTCCCAGCCCTGATCTTGCATGCATGGTGGCAGGTACCAGCTGCAGACATTAAATACAGGCTGGAGAGGGATTATTTTCTGAAAGAAAAGATCTGCTCTAGCGGTTGAAGAACTGGAAGCTGATGGTATCACTTTATTTGGCAGCTGTGTGATTGTACATCACTGCCACCTAAGGAAAGGGTGACAAAAATTAGCCTGATGCTCAAATTTGCTGGCCCTCCAGTTCTGCAGTCTGTTCCAGACCCTCTTGCCAAAGCTGGATGCAATCTATCATGTTATTCCTTTAACCTATATGAACATGGCTGGCCAAATCTCTACTTTACCAAAGCACGAGGCAACAGCTTACAGAGATCAAGATGCTTTCTCTGCACCATCACACCATTGAAAGGCTGTCTGGGTCTTATAAAAAGCACCTAAAAACCCTAGGGATCCAAGTAAGTCATAAAGAGAAGTATCATAACACACTTGTGCAGGTGAGAAAACCAAAGCAGGTGGAGAAAAGGAGCAGAGCAGAAAGGA